CCTTTTCACGCGTACCTTGGCCATCCACGTACCTTCTTTTGTGACGTGTCTAGCAAGCCTGTGCCTTTTTTTTAAAGTTCTGTTTTCATTGTTGATTTGTAGAATTTTTTAATATTCTGGGCACAAGGCTTTTGTCAGATGTATGTATCGTGAATATTTTCTCCCATTCTCTGGCTTCTATAACCATTTCCTTCAGCATGTCTTTTTTTTTTTTTAGAGACTGCTCTTTTATTTTAAAACAATTAAGATTAAAACATTTGAATAGTAATACATAAAAATGATAAAAAGTTCAAATAGTAAAAAGGATAAACAGTGAAAATTGAAGAGGAGAGTTTTCATCTTGTTGAAGTTTGGTTGACAGCCATGCTGTTCCCCAGGAAGGTGGCCTCCGTGCACCTGTCCCTCAGCAGTGCTGGAGAGATGTGCTTTTCCCTCCCTGTGGGGGCACTGAGAGAGTCCGGCCATTGTGTTTTCCACGCACGGGGTGATGCTAGCGTAGTCATGACATTTAAACAAAGTTTTATTGTACACTGTCCTTGAATATAGAAAGTTTAGTCGTTCACAAATGAGGCCCACTTGCAACTTCACACTCCTTGTCTTAAGTGATCCTCCTGCCTCAGCCTCCCGAGTAGCTGGGACTATAAACATGCACCACTACGCCTGGTTAATTTTTCTATTTTTAGAAGAGACGGGAGGTCTCGCTCTTGCTCAGGCTGGTCTCGAACTCCTGACCTCCAGTGATCCTCCTGCCTTGGCCTCCCAGAGTGCTAGGATTTCACCACATGCAACTTGAAGCACAAGAATTCTTCTGTTTTAACCAGAAATATTTTTCCCTAGAGACAGCCGTGTTCATTACCATTAGAGGGGCCAAACCGCGGGATCCGGGGAGAGTTGAAGTCGTAGGTCTTGCCGCAACCATCTCAGAAGAGACTGAAAATGCAAAATCAGTGCTTGGCCCTCAACAACCAGGAGGACACCCCAAGCCTGTTTGCACTCCAGAAACTCAACACAAAGCCCCCGCTGTTTACTGTGTGTCAGTGTTGGGTTCCTTGAAAAGAAACGTTTCCAAGCATTTTATTAGAAATAATCTTCCTCGCGTGCTCATCAATCCCGTCGACAGCAGCACGGCTGCTCTCGGAGTTACAAACGACCCCGCGCGATCCAATTGCTTTATCATGCGGCAACTGCGTGCCGTTATTCAGAACGACTGGCCCTCTTTTAAATTGCCTGTTGTAAGGTTATTTCATCTCCAATCTATCACAGGACGCGACTGCATTGTAACGAAGATTCATAATTTCCAAAGGGAGGGCGATTTGTCATCAAGTTCCACGGGCGCGGGGTTGATTGTTTCATTGGTCTCACTGTGGAGTGATTAACGGAACAGCCCGGAGATTTTGAGCACTCCTTAGCAAGCGCTTCTCTGGAGACCTCCGTGGCGGCAGCTTAATCTTAACGTGTGCAATTAGAAGTTGTAAATGCATGCAGAATATACGGGCTTGGGGAGGCTTTGGTGGCGGCTCCGGTAGCTCGCGGGGGTAGGTGACGGCTCAAGGGTAGACGTGGAATTAATCCGTATCTCTGGGCTTTATGATCCGGCGTCTGTTCTCATTTGCGAGGTCGTACGTCTTTGTCACACTCCACACTCTGGGGATGGGCTGTCCTCAGCATCCTTCCTCTGTCTTCCCCTGGCCTCCGGAGCATTTGAAACCTGCGCCTGTGATTTGTCACTCCCACTTTGGGCTTCAGACAGTGACAAAGGAACACGACAGAGTGTCAGTGATTGGACACCCACCCTCCGAATTCTTACGAACCGTTCAGCTTGACATCAGGGGCAGCGGGTGGGGAAGGGCCCATTGAACACCATAACTTACAGTTTCATCCAATTCCTGTCCAGAATTGGATGCAAATATTTTCTAGGACCTCTGGCTCCGATTTCTGGGATGGTTGAGTCACTTCTTGCTGCCATCCTTCCGCCTCGCAGCAGCACGGGCCAGGCTCCGCTCAGGGATTAGTTTACTGCAAGGAAGTGAATGTAAATGCAAGAGTAGAAACAGCCGGCGCAGGAGGAGGCAGAGACCTTGCTTCCGGGGTGCACCTGTGCCACCATCGTTGCTGTGGCGTCCAGTGAGCCCTCCTCATTGAAAACATCCTGAACTCTTCCTTCCCTTGCAGAGATTAACCAAAGTGCTGATACCTTACATGTGTTTCTTCTCATCTGTGGACTTCGACAAGTCAAAGATCCTCTTTATTTGGTGGATGCGTTTTCAGGTACGTTTTCTGGAGTTTCCTTCCCCCTGTGTTTGCCGAATTCCGTTTGAGCACATGTCTCGGCATCTGTCCTTGGGACTTTGAGCTTCATTTCCCCGTCCTTTGCAGACAAGCAGAGCTGCATGTGGAGTATCACATTGAGAACAATCAGAAAAATAATTTATGGGATGAGCAGCTCTATGTAGTGATTTTGGTTTAGTTTTCAACTGTCCCATGGACACAGCTTCCGAGGTGACTATTCATAAAAATAGTGAATAATTGCAAGACCCAAAGAATTTTATCTGGAAATATTTTGCACGTGCCAACTTGTGTGGTGCATTCGGAGTCTTGTTCATTGTTTATCCATATTGTCCTCAGTGTGTTCTACATCCCATGTTGAGTTGTGGTGGGATATTCGTCCTAGTTATCTAATCAATTAGAAATATGGATAATGTGTACCATTGTAGAAAAAATATTTTACTTTTT